CGTACATGTACGATTGTATTTGATAAGGATATGAGCCTAAAAGCAAACAATCAACACCATGTGAGTGACATAAACAGACAGAAGAAAGAAAAAAAAGGTTCAATTGTATGCTAGCGGCAACGGAAGGAAGGTTAAATGAGTTGAGTTAAACACAAATGTTGACAGTATACGCAGAGATTTTTTTTTCTTTTTCGTCAACAAAGCCAAGTTTTATTTCACACATTTCATAGTTGAAATATGATAAGAAACGTCAAATTCGAGGACAATTAATATATTAATTAACTCACGTTATATGTTTCATTGGTCTTGCCAGGGTTAATCATTGATCCGAGCGAAATGTTAATGCCTTGAGGGTGACAAATTAATTGGTAAGAACTCTTTCAACACAGTCGATACTTAATTAGTTTCGACGGATGAGATAGAACGAGACTAAGATACATGCACATTGCATGTAACAAAAAAAAAATCCGGAAAAGTCAATGTTTGTCGGGTCGTATACGATAATATCAAATTTGTCCTTCGATAAGAACAGAATTTGACGGAATCCCGTAGCTCTTCTTTAGTACTTTAGTCAATTAGTAGCGAACGAGTTCTCTATTCTAATATGATTAGACGACAACACTATTACTCTACTACTGTTATTTCTTCTTTTTGCTCCTCCATCTTCTCTTTTCTCTTTTTCTTTCTTATTCCAGTTCAGTTAATAAAGCAAACGAAGAAGAAAATAGAAAGAAATAGATGTACGCTTTCTCTCTCTCCTTCTCTAAGTTGGTCTCTTAGGGTATAAGAAAAACAACAACATCACACAAATACGAACCGAAAATTAACACTCTCACTAGATTACTCCACTTTCTCTCTCTCTCGTGTATATCAAACTTTCTTCTCGATTTCTTTAGGGATCTCATACATTCACACACATACAATTTATGTTTGTCAACCGAAGGCCATGTTCAGTCACGATTAATCAAGCGATTTGAACTGCAGATCACTACTATCACTCGTTTATAATCATAGGAAAAATAAAAGAGTAAAAGTGTTTACATGCTTGATTGAAGTTCGATGATTAAACTCAAACGAACTATTCATATGATGAGTAATAATGGGCGTACAACCGTATAGAGCGAGCGTAGCCAATATATACACAATCTCTTTGATATGGAAATTGACGTTCTAGTGATATCGCATTTCTTTTTCTCTTTCTATTGTATAATGTTCTATCAATGATTCGAAACGCATTGTACACACATTTACATTCAATGATATTATTAAAAAAAGTTAATCAACAATTGTTCGTTGGTTGTTGTTTTTTTTGGGGGGGTTTTATTCTGTTCGTGTCACATTATTGTCGAAAGTTATCTGTCACAAATGCATTCATATTCATTGTTCAACAATTACTAGTTGTACTAATCTAACATGAACCTTTTCATTATATTAAACAGAAAAATTACAATGTAGTGATAGCTATTTATTGAGAATCTAAACTGTTCAATCATATTGATATATATAGATATCCGGAAGACAATAGATTCATGTCAAAATAAAATAATGATTTGACAACATTAAACTAAAATTTTTCATACAATAGACAGATTATATGCGGTTCGATCCGGCCTTTTTTTTTTTCTATCAAAGAAATTTGAATCTTGATACTAGACACCTCGATAGTCAAGTACACTTATTTAATGAAAATCATGTTTTTATCATGCACACAGAAAAAAAAGGATCAGACAGATTTGAATATGAATTTTATAATTATTCGTTTTGTATATGAAATACATGGTCACATATCATTTTTTTCAGGAATTGAGATTACTAAAAACAAAGAAACAAATCATTGGCATGTATCTTCATTTGAGATCAAGTTTCTGGCATATATATATATATATGTGATTTTTTTTCTCTCTCTCTCTTTATCTGCTTATATGCAAAAGATGTAAAGCATCATTTTGTAATTGTTCTTGTTGTGACTGATTTATTGTTGAAATTCTTCTAGTATCCAAAAAAACCCACATGTGGTCATTTGCGTCTTTTTCAAGATGAATATTAACCGAAAAAGACAATTAGTATTAGTTTGTTTATATATCTTATAGGAAAGTCTTGTTAGTACGATGTTACAAATTGCATTAGTCGATTCGGAATTATCTACCAACGATGATGATATTATAGGGCATATAGTTAATGACAAGAATAGGGCAAGTGGACTTTTATATACAAAGAGCGAAAGAGAGAGAGAGAGAGATATGACAGAACAATAAAAGAAATGCTTCAATGTTATTGTTAGATACGTCAAAAAGAACCCGAATCCTCTTCTTCTTCTTTCTCATCATCATAGTCTATTTTGAACTGTCAGTCATTTTTGACAATTCATCAATGTGCTTCAACAATGACAATACCATATGGAACGACGACGACGAGCATTCCGATGCTCAATAATAATAATAATATTAAAGAAAAATCACCATCTCGTTTTTCGTATCTAATACGACCAACAACACCATGCATATTTGGGACAGAAAATTATGATGATAAATTAGTAGATGATGATGAATTTTTTGTTACTGCTGGTGGTATTGTTCATTCATGTCCAAATATCTATGAATTATCAACCAAAGACGAATATGAACATCGAAAATTTCAATCATGTAATCTTTTAATGTTTATTAATAAACAAACAACATCAATAAATAATTACTTAAATACTTATGATACAGAATTTAATCGTTATTCGATTTTACCACGTTTTCAACCTATATCATCATCATCATTATCAACTGATTCAATTAATTCTGAAATAGAATTGTATAAAGAAAGACATGCATTTGGTCTTTCTCGAAAATATGATAATACTATTTCGACATATTCATCATTTTTACCAAAAACATGGAAATCTGATAATTATCTTTTGTTTATGCCTGTTCTACATCATCAATTTTCATTGTCAACTTCAAGTGATAGTAATAAACGATCGCGTTCATATAATATTCCAATTCGACGAACATTTACATCTATATTTTTTTGATAGTTTTTCTATCTTTTATTCTGTGATAATTTATTTTAGAGAAATTTTCTGAGTTTAAAAGATAACAATTATAAAATGTCATTTGTTAATCTTCACTTTCGACAGGAGAGTTTGGGCAATAGAAAACGTCAACCACAATAAATTTATCACAAAGAGAATTTCTCATAAATCGTGTCAACACCTAAAATAAAAAATCAGAACGAATATTAATGTACTGAAACGCTTATCATCGAGTAAAATGTTGGCCATAAAAGTTACTTATTGTCTTATCAACTCGCAAATTCAATCATACTATCCATCACTATGAAACATATATCCAATACTTGCTTTTAGTAAACAAAAATAGCTTGAGGCATTGAATCTTACCATGATTCGTACAATTTACTGATGCCCTGATGCAAAGCACGTCTAAATCGAAATTTTGCAAAAAAAATGCAAGCTTCTAGTCGAATTAGTCAATAGGCACTGATGCAAAGTGATAGTGACCATAATTAAAACAAATCCGGTTATCTTAGAAAATTTTTCTCAATATAAACTATCAATTTTTTATTTGCAAGAGTACTTTACAAACTCAATATTCATTAAAGAAAGAATAGAGGGATAAAAAATTTCGAGAAAGAAAAAACTTGCAAAAGTATCAAGAAGTTTCTTGCAGGTGACAAATTATCTCTTTTCTATAATGTCCTTTGTTTTTGAGTATGCATCTACAATCTATTTTTGTTTAAACAAGCTATCAAAATTCGTATACATTGACTAGTTCTTCAATGTGCATGTACACATTGTATCCTACTACGTCTTTGTCTGAGGATTGTTGTTTTTTTTTTCTAAGTTTCTTTTGACGCCTTTTCTTACTTAGAAATAGAGAGATCAACTTGGAAGTGCAGATGTATCATTAACTTTTCAGAAATATGAGCATTGTTGATGAAAAACAAGATCGATCAAGTGAAATCATCTTTGAATTAAATGGCACATATGAGAGGAGATCTGATTACTTACCATGTAAAAATATTTGAAGCTTTTTTGCAAACAATTTATCGATTATATACCTTCAAGAATCTGTATCGAAGGTTATCTCTTCCTATTAATCATGCACTGTGTTACTGTTTATAAAAGCACAATTTTTTTTTTTGATTCCTTTCCTTTCCTTTCCATCTACATTACTATCTATATCTATCATGTTATGTTAAGTACTTTTTTTGTCTTGTTTAGCCTTTCCCTACTCCTTCATAAGGAGACATGATTTTTTATCTTTTTGTTTCCCAGTCCTTGGTTCTCCCTCGTGTTGTTTTTCCTTCATTGATTATAGGAGTGATTCTCGTTCATAGCCGATGCTCTCTACGCATAAACATTGTACTTGAATAAAAAACATTATACTACAACTACTGTGGCTTATTGAGTAAAAGCTGACAGAGAAAATGATTTGAATACAAGTGTGGAAAATGTGGAATCGATTCAAGGAAAGATCTTGGTAGTTGGATGGAAATGACGTTTCGTCAGTTCTTTTCTCAATAATATTAGTGAGAATCAGCGGGAGTTGCAGACGAATATTCGTGAAAAAACCACGAAGGTAATCTTCGAGATGAAGCACGTAGTGCGCGATCAGTGGTCTTGTATGAGACCAGGAAGAAAGATCAAATGAAAACGAGGCACGAACCGTACTTTGCACACAGAGTTAGTAGTTTTAATGGAAATGTTTGTCTCGAAACTTGCGAATCTCTTCCAGATTCTGATTAAGCATATCAGTATATTCTTATAGAACGAAGCCTAGTTTTCATATTTGAACGAGAGCCACTAACACACGAGGCGAATTGCATGATATTCCATACTAGCCCACTACTACTCGAGCCTATTAATATCAATACAAGAAACAAGTATTCACAGGTACCATTCTAAAATGGATGGCACAGGTTGAGATAGAAAAATAGAAGCCAACACTGACTCTTCATTGGTCCTTGCATCCGTATACTACACAAGTTAAAAAATGGTAAATTTTACTCTGTTTAAAGTCGAAACGTCGACAAAGAAACGGTTGATAATCGAAAATGTTGACGATGTTAAAATGTCAAAGAGTGAATGGGTTACGAAATGTCACTTTGATAGAGTTGCTTTTGAATCGATTAGCTGCGTAAGTTAGTACGGTTTCCGGACATGTTATGATGTCTTGTAACTGATCAAAAACCTCGACAACAAGAAAATTTTCATTGGTAATCTCAACTTTGGTGGAAACTAGACATTTCGAAAGGAAAAGCGTTGAAAGATAAAGATATCGATAGAGACTTCAGTATGTTTGTTTTTGAGTATATAAAAGATAAGCATATCAAATTGAATCAAATTTATTTATTAGAAACAAGCAGATGAAAGACAAGTAAAAAGTATTTCGACAAATCACTTGATCAACGTTAATTAAGTTTTGCGCTAGATCATGTTTTGCAATAACAAAAGACAAATCAATAGGAAGACCAAATGTAATAATTAAATAATTATTATATCGACGATTCAGAAAGACTATGGAGACGAATCATTTTCGCGTTTTCTTGTTTTCATAAAGATATATATGTACGCAAAATATGGAGTCAAACAACGTATGACTGTTGGGGATGTTACTTCGTCAGATTTATTTCAAAATGAAGGGAAAATGTGTGCCTACATATTTTAGGAAGAGTTTATTTTAAAGTTGGTTTTTATTGAATCGGAGTGTGCAGTAAGTGTGAGTGTTTATCTTATACTGTGTCAAACCTACATTCACATCCCATATCTGCAGCTTTGTTTTTTTTTTCTTTTTGATAAATCGAATAAAATGGATCAATTTCATTTACAATCCATATTGCTCTGTTAATCTGGAAAGAAAAACCAAAAAAAAAATATTCAAAACACTTCACCTCTCTTGTACGAAGAACTGTAAAACATAGCTTATTGAAGTATATGTTGTTGACTGATTATGCATTTGTATGAGACGGTGACAACATATATCATAAATGATTCATTCACACAAAATAAAACACCATAATTCTATGGAAAGATGACTCATGCATCGAACAAGAAAGAAATAAAAGAATATTTTTTTATTTCACAACATGTGACATAATAACAATCTTGCACAATCCGTAAGTAGTTCTGGCTCTTTCATTAGAAAGAATACTGCGCATATGCAATTGATGACCACAGAGAATGTAAGTACATCTTTAGACTGTCTCTTGTTTTTCTTTTATTTTTGGTTGCTTTGTTTCCCTACACGATGATATTATGCTTACAGTTTTCGTAACGTAATGCCTATCTTATCGTCTGGATTTTCGTCTTTTGTCTGCTGCAAGAAAATGATCGAACTATTTGACGGCTGTTAAGTCTTTAGGAAGTAGTTTGAATTGAATCTTGAAGAATTACTACTTATCTGATATTAGAAAAAAACAAGTGAATGTATGAATTAGAAAGAGTCCATTACTTGGTAACCACTGATGTGCAGCATAGAAATAGATGGTGGATTTTGCAGTGAAATATGTAGTTTAATAGATGAAAATTTAGCTCATTTCTGCTTATTTCATTTTTTAGAAGAATACGGTTTCCGATATTTTTACGAAACCAAGCTTTTGGGAATGCGATAGTTGTAATCGTATTCTTAAACATGGTGAATTTCGTTTCAATTGCATCGTTTGTCCAGATTATGATCAATGTGAAACATGTACCGCCACAATACAACCACCACATCACCATCGGATGGTTCGCGAAATTGCGTATGGTTATGTTGAAGAAGCAGAATGCACTAGAGTAGATCTTGCAGCAAGAATTCTCGCTGCAGTTACCACCTATCAGGATCGTTATTGCATGGGTGTACGTGATGTTGATCCAAATAATCCTAACAACTATGTAGATTCGTATTCGTGGCAAACATTCAAAACTATCGGCGAACGAATAATTAATTTCAGTCATGGACTACGACATTTGATAAAACCACGTGCTTATCTCGGCATTTGTGCAGCAAATCGACCTGAGTGGTTAGTGACTGATTTTGCGTGTATTTTACAGAGTTTTATTAGTGTGCCAATCTATTGCCTGTTTAATGATCGTGAAATGGCTTTTATTATCAAAAATACACCAATATCCATTATTGTTTGTGACAAAGTAATGTTGTCAAGATTCATTCATTTACATTCAGACTGCCCATCATTACGACATATTGTATGCATGGATCCAATTCCTGAGACAATGTCGAGTAAGATAAAAATTCATTTTTAGAAGCATGTTAAAGTTCTAGAGCAATAGTTGCATCTTCTGATAATACAAAGGAAACTTTTTCGGGTGATTGAACATTTTGAATAAGTTACCTTTTTTTCCCTATTAATTAAATGGATAATCTATACTAAAAAAGAATTAGCAATAACTAGAAAATGTAATCATTGATCTCTGATATTATAACGTAGTTTGCGAGATTGATATATTGAGAAAAAATTCATCCAAACAAAAAGTATGCCGAAATTGTACTCACTAGAAAATTTGATCTTTTTCCGCTAGTTACATGAAAATATTTTCATTTGTACAAGTCAGATTTGTTGAAGATAAACTGACAGAATTGAAACTATCAGTTCCAGATCTATTTCAGCACTTATATTTTTATATCACACAAGAAAAATACGTACCGTCATTTATCTGGTATCAAGAAAGACACGATCATCTCGTACATTAGAGTGGGAAGGAGAAATTCTGCAATGAAGATATTATTCAAAGAAATAGTGTCATATCGAACAGAGAATATGAAGTAATTCCGCAACATCTTACAATTGACCAATCGATGAGTTTTAATGAACGCAATATGTATGATTCCACTCTCGAATATATTGGATAGAAATCATAGATAGAATGTTTTAGTTGAATTTTTCACACAAAAATTCTTTATTCTTTATAATGGCTATCAATAGTCTTCCTGTAAAAAATAACTGCTCTATTTTTCTTGTTTTCGAGAGTAGATCTAAAAATAAGAACACACTATACTATGATTACACTAGTATTATTTTCTAAGGATTGTCATTAGCAGAAATTTTCAGCTTTTTTAGATACTATAATTCTATTTACAGTCATATTTACACAAAATTATCAAGGTTTCTCAAATATTCTTTTTGTTCTTCGCAGCAGAAAAAAAACTGGAAACAAATGTCATTCTATTCGTATCTTCGTACCACTTGAATTGGCATAAGAGCATCGAAGATGGGATCGGTTCGTGTATTTTTTGAAACCGAACTGAATCAAAATTTATTTTGAACTAACAATGTTCAGAATGTTTCAAAGGACATACTTACTGTATGAATGCATAGGATGCCACTATTGATCAATGTCAATCCGAAACATTCTTCTGTTGCAAAGAGGCAGAGTACGAATTCAAAAGTTTTTACTTTTAAAAACTAAGTTCTCTAACTTTGGAAATGGAAAATAGTAGCACTTTTGGTGATGACACAAAAATAGACTTTTTTATACCAAAAAACAACATGTAGAAGTTATTTATCGATACTTCTCGAAACTCTCATTTTTAGTTGCTTCAGATCATTCATATCTTTTATTATGATTTCATAAACACGTGCTCTGAGAAACTTACAAAAAAGAAAGCAAAAGTTAGTTTTAACGAAAGAAGAGCTATAAAATAATGTAGCTTAGCCGTTTTCATAGTCATCAAAGTTTTTGAACAACTATAAATGTACTGCTTTGAAGGAATGCACACAGAATTTGTTTGTTTTCAAACAAGTTAAACAAACGATTGCAACTCAACTATGAAAGGTCTGGATGATCTGAGTTATTTAGTAATAAAAAAGAATAGAGTTTATGTCGAAGAAAACAGCACATTTGGTTTTCAATATACAAAAAAAGGACTAGGTTTGTATTGTAGTCAAAGGATTACCTTTTCTAGTGTTGATGAGTTTGATTCTTAAAACAAATAATTAACTTTCCCTTTCAAATAAAGAAAGTTTGAGATTTAACTTGATCAGTAGTGTGATTATATGAATTCATACAGTGATCATAACTTTTACTATACTCTGTATTAAAGTATCAACTTTAAATGAGATTAGTTTGAATTCTTTCTTGATTAAAAAAAAGGGATGTATGATTTCTAACTCAAACGAACTCCATCCCCATTTTTCTCCTTGGGATGGAAATTCGAATTGATTACAGTTGACTGGAGTTGTAGATGGCATGAACAGGGGTTGACTTAGATTTAGAGGTGGAATTTATCGGAATTTATCATGAAAAAAGTTGGGATAGAATTATAAACTCATAAAAACGTGAAAAAATTGATAATTCTTAAATAACTATTTCGATCAATTCCCCATTCGGATTCCAGTTAATTTTAGGAATTGGTATATTCCTAAACCGAACCGACTCCATCTCTGTTAGATCATATGATCAATTTGTGCGATCTTAAACAAAATATTTCTAGTTCACTTATAGAATAACGTAGCCATCGCGAGTATGTACATATCAAAAGAGAATGATATTCTCAATTAGATCATTACCGTTTGATTTGAAATCCGTTGGAAAATTGAGACCTATCATTTGTAGCATATCATGACGGAGTCATTTGCTTCCTGAATTTGCAATCAGTGAAATTCACAAATATATTTACAAGCCTCGAAGTTCTATCTAAAAGTACGAAATAAAGTCAGTCTCTGACCTATTGTCAGCAGTACTTAATTTGTTTTAGTGAAGGGTAGTTCGGAAAGCAGAAGTCTTTTTTTATCTAAAACTCGTTTCAGAGAAATATTTTGGCGATCCGTGTTCTCAATAACTATTTCAAATAGTATTCTCAATGAATATTTTCAGAGACACGACGAGCATCAACCATATTATCCCACCTCCCAGACTTTGTACATCAGTCATAAGGATAATGCAGCTCGATTCGTAAATTTACTGAAATATTAGCTATTTTATCAGTAAAAACAAGTTGAATTTCAATCACTATACAAATTAAAATCCAATCTATTCAGATGTAGAACGAATGTTAGTCTTGTACTATAATATATGTTAGGCTAATTCATAAACACAATCTAATTCTAGAGATAAATGATCTTTCGATTCATTACATGGGCGCTATCGAAAGATATGGTTTAATGAAGCAATTCGACCATGTCATCACTAAACCTGACGATTGTATTACTGTCATATACACGAGTGGAAGCTCAGGATTTCCTAAAGGAGCTATGATCTCTGAAAATGCTTTTAGAAATAATTTTCCACCATTAAACATGTTATTTCGAGACGAACGTGTCAAATTCTGTTACCGACCGCTCGCATGGGCAACTGATCGCGAAGGTTCAATCGCAGTATTTCTCGAAGGAGGACGCATAGGATTTTCAACGGGTGATGTGACTCGTCTAATGGAAGAACTAGCTTTAGTCAGACCGACAAGTTTTTCTGCTCCACCGACTATTTGGAATAAAATTTATGCGGAATATAAAGCAACCCTTGCATTGATGACCATCGATCAATCAACTACTGATTTGGCCATGGTCGAAGATACTCTTCTCCAACAATTTGCAAAATTAATTCCAATACGATGTAAAGTCCTTTCTATCGGCGGTGCTATGGTCAGTTCGGCAGTGCTTGATTTTATGAAACGTTGTTTTCGACTTTGTCGAATAATGGAATCATACGGAACTACTGAGTGCGGTGGAATTACATTTGATACTCTTATTGAAACGACCATCAATTATCGTCTTGAGTCAGTACCAGAAATGTGCTATACACTTGATGACAAGCCATTTCCACGAGGTGAACTTTTAGTTAAAACGAAGACAATGTTTTCAGGATATATGAACAATTCTGAAGAAACAAAAATGGCACTTACTGACGATGGATTTTTTCGTACTGGAGACATTGTTGAGTTACGTCCTGTCAACAATGGACAACCTAACCTACGTGTTATTGATCGAAAAAAAAATTTCTTCAAACTTTCTCAAGGACAATTTGTATCACCAGAATTTCTTCAAGAAATTTATATGCAAAGTCCCTATGTTGAACAAATCTATATTCATGGTAATTCTCTAGAAGATTCTGTTGTAGCAGTCATAGTACCAAACAAAGAATATGCTAGAGCATTTGCTATCAAACATAATCTAACTGAATTTGATAATAATCATGTAGATAAATTGTTTTACGATGCCATTATGGAGGATCTACGTTCGTTAGCTACCAAAGAATCACTTCGAAAACATGAAATTCCATCTAGATTAATCATTGATTTTGAACCGTTTACACCTGAAAATGGTTTGCTCACATCATCAATGAAACTTTGTCGCTATCGATTGGCTGCTCGTTATGCCGCTCGACTAAAAGCTGTCGAGTCGATTGAAGATCGTTTAAAAAGTATGATCGAAACAGCAACAGGACATCAATTGACAATAGATCAAGCAACAAATTTTATATCTATCGGTAGTGATTCATTGACTGCTGTGCGCCTCTCTCGTATGATATACAATGATCTAGGGGTACCTATACCACTCAATATACTTTTCGAATCCAACATGACCTTAAACAATCTAGCAAATCTAATTAAAAATCCATCGCAAATCTTATCGTTTTCAGACTCAATAATATCTCAATTATTGAACGATTCTGTACAAGAACTCAATATAAAGATTGATGAAAAGAAAAATAGAAGCATGTCGCCTTCTACAATTTTTATTACGGGAACTACCGGTTTCGTCGGTGCTTTCTTACTAGCTGAATTATTGAAAGTGTATCCGTCTCATTGCAAATTTATTTGCCTTGTCCGATGTTCAGTTTCGACAAACCCCTTAGATCGTATTCAAGAAAATATGATGTTTCTTCAATTATGGAATGAAGAATGCCAAGATCGTATTGTCGCATTACGTGGTGATCTCGCCCAAGAACGTTTCGCACTTGATAATGAAACTTATTCGGAATTGGCTAATCGAATAGATATTATTTTTCATTGTGGAGCTACTGTTAATTTTGTACTTCCTTACAACAAACTTTACAGTTCGAATGTTTTCGGAACACTTGAAATAATTCGTCTTGCGACTCATGCTACTACATATATACCTGTACAATACATATCAACAATTAGTGTACTACCTTCGGAAATAATGCACGAAGTACATATTGATGAAATTTCTCCTAATCATTTGAGAAGTGGTTATGCACAAAGTAAATGGGTGGCAGAGAAGCTCATTGCAAAAGCCAATCGTTTAGGTCTACCAATGAGCATCTATCGGCTTGGATCAATCTGGGGAAGTACAGAAACTGGTGCTTGTAATCAACATGATATCAACACATTATTATTGGCAGGAATCATGAAAACAGGCTGTTATCCAACAGCAGCCTTCCATATAAAACTCAATGGTGTACCTGCTAATTTAGCTGCTCAAAGTGTTGTATCTTTGAGTCGCATTGAACCAAATATTTATGGTAAAACGTATCATGTTATTCAATCGAATGAAGGAATACCATTTCAAAATATAATTGAAACTATTCAAAATTGTGGAATTACACTTGCCAGTGTTTCTTACGACGAATGGAAAGTCAAGTTAATATCACAATCAACAACGAAACGCCCATTCGAATCAATTCTAGAATTTTTCACAAACAATCCATTCGAACGAATGTCATCACCAAAGCCGTCATCTAATAATATACCTCAGTTGACATTTCCATCAATTGATGATGTTTATATAATGAGATGGTTAACATTTATATTAAATAATATTGTTCATTGATCATTCTTTAAAAGATATTTTGAATTCTCTGAACTTCCGTGTAAGAAGTTGCCAAATTTGACAAGACTATTCATTCATGATTAGAGGCGTAGAGATGAATTTTATTATTCATAAGATACATAAATATAAGCATGACACAAAAACTAGCTTCTAGAAATTCAATCAATTTTCTGCTAATTTGACTGATATTATTCCACTTAATCTTACCACAAATGCACATTTGTTCCATTCGTAGTGAACATATGTAAGAAATGCAGTGATACATCTTTTGTTATTATGTCTTTCTGACTCATTTACTGAAACTCTTCAGTGAGACTTCGCCTTTCATTAGGATCTCACATTTCTACAAGATACTAATCGATATAGTGAAAATAATTTATCAAAAGTTATTCATATGCAATAGGAAATGATGAGAGCAAACCTATAGACCTTGTATCAATCTACATTAAGAATATCTCTGAAAATGAAAGATCACGGTGCTATTAAAGGTAGCATTCTACCGAGCTTCAAGATTAAATAAAAGCAAAAATACATCAGTTACAACCCGCCTATCATGCATGAAAAATTAGATGAATGAACGAGTAAAAGGCCCGAACAAAATACTGTTGAGTCCTTGTGGATTAAACGAAGCAACGAAGAAAATGATCTCTACTTAGTCACTTTATTCGTTGACATATTTGAGTTTTTCTTTGGGATACCTTTCAATGTTGGAACGTGTCATTCATTTGTCGAGACTGAGATTTCAAAATAATTTCCACTGAAAATTCGACAAATGACAGTGATATTTGGTGTCCGGATGAATTATCCAATCGTGCAGTACGCGATCTCTTTATCTCTGTAGACGAGTGTCTTTTTTACTAAAGATTGAATCTTCGTTGGATATTGTACCATTTCGATATGTCAAAATTCACTGATAGTGATAGGATCACGACCAACAATATTCATTCAAGCTTCGTTACTGACAAACAATCGATCTTTTTGAATCAAACTACTTGAAATACAACATCACGTTCGTCAATTTGATCAGTACAAGTCAATTGACATAGAGAGAAATAAATTGCATAGACAAAGTTCATCAAGTACGATCTGATCTGGTCGATAACAGCACATAGTCAAAACTGGACCGAAAAAAGCTTTCTCATAATCATTTCAATGGCAAATAACATCGACAAGATCTGCCAATTGATCCAATTTGTTGATCATCATGGCGTCTTATTCAATGGAATTTTCGTGAACATTGTCTTTAAACAACCACTACCAATGTTGATCGACGTTGCTGTAATGAACTGAAGAGCATTTTTTATTCGCTTCTTCATATCAATCCATTTGTGAATGTCTCTTGTTCGACCAGATAGACTCATTATCGACACGTTAAACAAAGGAACAATTTCCATTCGGTATCTTCTCCTCGAACATAGTCTTGTAAATAGTCTGAAAATCAGCCAATTTTGCCAATCAGATTTCCCTGATGCGATTGATGAGACCAATGTATGAGTGACATAGGTAATTTACTTAAGATTGATAAGAATATATGACTTTGACAGATATCGCTTATATCGGTGGGTTGCTTTATTCATTCAGGATCTGTCGATTCACGTATTACCTTTCGGGAGAATAAAATAAGAGGATCTAGTAAATGATTGACTACCAATGCTATTAGCTGTCGTACAAGAAAGTGAGCAAACATTCTAATAAAAATTCATCGATGCCAAAACAGTACTTCTTATTATACATGTGCATTTCAGTTGGAACATAGTTGCATTCGTCATTGTGTTATTGAGTGTCATGTGAGATATTGATGTGTTTAGAAAAGAACGAGCAGATCTTTCGATTGATGTCTGAGAGCTGTTCTCTCAAAATTTGATTGTTGTTTACACAAAAAGGGAAAAGACTTAGAAACAAATCTGATATCTATACAAAGATGGATGGATAGGTTGATTCAATGCGAATGTGAAAACATGCATTGGCAAAGGAAATGAAAGTAATCATATTCAGTATGATGCCTTCAGTTTTTATCTTTTTTGTATAAATTCAAACTTTTTTGAGGTCATTTTTTTCATTGTTATACATGTTATTACTTGGTCCATATTAGGCAACGGACCATTCTATCTTTGAAAAAACTATTCAGCACTCAGGACATCACCACACTTAATCAAAATATTTAATATAATAGAAATCGTATATTTATTTCTCTGATAGACTAGAGGCATTTTCGAAAAGATCTTGTCACCCAACATAAACATATCTACCTCATACCCACTGGATCACTAGTATTTACCAGTGGTAGCGTTTACGACCGTCGATTCTAACTATAAACAACTGCAGAGAATATTTTCTATCGAAATTCGAATTTATTGTTAGAAAGAATTCAATTTCGTTCTGAGAAAAAATAGTTTTAGAATATATTTTATTAATAATAAGTCTTGCAGCGCCATCTATAATAAAAACTTTATCTTTGAACTAAGGCTTATTTGGGCTTCCTGTATAACATCAATACATATTGCAATATCCATGCTAGAGATTTGAAGAGTTACCTTACCCTGTAGGTTAGAGAGGGTAAGGATTAGACAATTTTTTTCAGACAGGGTACAAGGTACGAAAAAGTTTACCTTGTACAATTCCAATCCATGTGATCATTTCCGTCACCAACCTCCAATTCAAAGCACTATGGCTTTCTTTCTTTCTTTCTTTCCCTGCTATTTAAAATGGGAAGAAAATTTATACATTACAAACAAACAAATGAATCATCGATTATTAATCTTTTCCGTTCTGTTTTTTTGTTGTTGGTTCTTTCCATTCGCTCTTCAGTTATTGCATGAAAAACACTGACAAACACGTTTTCTTTTTTCTTACTTATCGCTCAAATGATGGCAATGACTACAAAGACCAGAGAATATTGCAAATTTGGAGCAGCATGTAAACGTGCAACTTGTTGGTACTTACATCCAGAACGTGAATATGAGAACAAAATGTTTTATTTTTTTTCAAATGAACCTGATTATAACAGTACACAATGGCCAATCGAGTCTTATGATAATTCTCAACTTATTGACCATGAAAGTCAGCAAGCTTATTTACAATCGTTTCCTTGGCAATATTCTACGAATCAAAATCTTTCTTATACACAAAGTCAACTTTCTGCTTCTTCTAGTTTTCATTCAATAGTACACAACGATAGCTTTGATGCGAACAATGAACAGTCGAATAAATTACCCACATCGAGCAAGCCATGGGGAAAACCATTCACGAATTGTAAACTCTTGGAATCAAAATTCAGATTTGCCAACGAGAATCGTTATAATCGTCACCGATCAATTTCGTCAACTCGGTTGCAACAAATGAAAAACGAAATTCAAGTTCTATTTCGCGTATGTATGGATGCCTAGGTGTACAATACTCGAAATGAATTTCATTTCAACTCGATTGTTCTTTTCATGTTTGGTTTTTCATCTTTTCTGTATAGGATAATGTATTCGAAATATCCAAACAACATCAATCACTTATTGTCGAACAACAAAGATTGCTTGAAGATCTTGACGATGATGACGATATAAAACTTCAAAAAGAAGAATATATCGAAGAGTTAAAAGATCAGTTTGAAATATTCGACCAAACAATATTAAGTCTATCCAGTATGAATCCAATGACGTTGGAAGAAGCTCATTATCTTTTGAACAGAGTGAAACGAGAAATTGAGCGTCTTAAAGCTCGTTTACCTATCTATGCACGATGTCAACAATTGATTGATATAATCAATTCTAATCGAGTAATTATTCTTAAGGCAGACACAGGATCGGGTAAAAGTAGTCAATTAATTCAATATTTGGCCGATGCCGGATTTGCAGATCATGGTTTGTTTGCTTGAACTACTTGGTGATTTATACACTACATCTTATATCTAACTAGGACAAATTGTGTGTACTCAACCCCGACGTTTAGCTGCACGTGAGTTGGCCTCGCGTGTCGCCAAAGAATACGGTTGTCAAGTGGGTGAAGAGGTAAGATATTTATGAAGAAAATATCAATCAGCACCAATGTGCCGCTTGTCATAGAACAGTAAAGAATAAGAAGATAAAAAATTGCACATGCGGGCCGAAATTAAAATGCGATTCTTTAATGGTTCGTTTCGCATTATATCAAAGCAAATCGTATCATACGTTCAATAGATAGCAGTTAAACTAATAATCTAGAAAGGGATTAATTTAAAAGGATCAATGTAGATAGTTTCTTGTTACACGCGGTTACGTGTATCATAAGTGTGATATCTATGCTTGGAAAATAGATTTGTGATATGAAATGATAACAGAGGGAAAACAGATTATCCATTTTCGCTACTTGAGTCATATACCCTAGGGGGAAACGGCAGACTTGAAGTAGAAAAGTACAACAAAATACAAAATTAGTTTAAAGTGCTTCAAAGTAGGTCAAAGTACTTTTAAATTACGTTAGAGTACTTCAAAATAAAGTAAGTAAAGTTAGCACCAGATCCGCGTATTTCTTGCCCCGATTCGCTTTCTTACCTGTGTTACCTCTCTAGACACTTGTGTTAGGTGCAGAATTTTAAGCTCTATCGAACGGTATCGGTTTCAACCACGGTCATCCGGCAAAAATCCATCACTTTCCCCGAAATACTGCCTTATTCCCTGTGTAATAACACCCGATATTATGTATTTCTTGTCCGGATTCGCTCTACCACTCGTATTGGCTCTCTCATTCAGTGTGTTGGATGCAGAATTTAATTCTCTATCCGACGGTACAATTTGCAACTCGTGTTATCGGGCAAAACTGGGGGTTATACTTCAAATACTTGGTACAAGACCGGATCTTGAGTAAAATCCTTGTCCGGATTCGCTCTAACACTTGTGTGAGCTCTCTCATTGGTTGTGTTGGATGCGGAATTTAATTCTCTATCCGATAGTACTATTTCCAATAAGTGTTATCGAGCAAAAACAGGGAGTTATACTCCAAATACAAGGTCCAAGACCGGATCTTGAGTAAAATCCTTGTCCGGATTCGCTCGAACACTTGTGTTGGCTCTCTGATTGAGTGTGTTGGATGTAGATTTCAATTCTCTTTTCGATGGCGCTGTTTTCAGGCTGTGTGATGGGGCACAAATCACGGGGTTTTCCGGAAATACTAGTGCAAGAGCAGATTCAATTTGATCTTTCTACGGTTTTTCTGAGCATGCTGTTTTCGGTGTTTTATGGAATGTGTGTTACGAGAAAGTTTACTTAGTTCGAAATCGTAGAATTTCATGGGTAAGAGCGAAGGAAGATTATTTGTTTTGTCCAATATCTTGAAGGCAGCAGCATGGTGTTGGAGGGTAGCTCTGGGTGGTTTTGTATCACTATGGTCATGTTTTGTGTAAAGGCAAATGGTTTTTGAGTATTCGGTTTTCAGATTTTGGGAAAGTAATGAAGGAATGTTTTTTTGAATTTTCATGAGTGTTGCTGTGCGCAGGAATATTCGTTATCGGTTGATAGGACTTTTCATTTTGGAAAGGTTTATTTGTAGTACATCGATGTCGGAGATTAGGTCATTCATAATATATTGATCTGGTGGTGGGGATGTTAGTGTTGTTAACAGGGGCTTGGAAAATCGTCTTCCCTCATGCTGCGTACCTATGGTTAGAAGCTATACACCATATGTATGATATTGGTGGTATACGGATAGACTTTTTTGAAGTTTTGCCTGTGTATGTGAGCTTCTCACAAATTATTGATGTATTTCATTCGGCTTTCTCTTGGTAGGTGATGATTAGTATTGATGAGAGTAGACAGTTGAGATTTCGCTCAGCTTTCAAAACCACATATGAATTCAAATTGGTTAAGGTAGAGGTATGGTTATTTTTTTTTCAACGAAGAAAATTGAACAGTTGTGATGAAGTAAGGAAAAAGAAAGCATACTTTAGGCGTGACATTTGTGTGCAAGCATTCTAGGAAACAACATCGGTTTAAAGCATTGATTTGGATAAATAGTGCTAATAGCAAAAAGTCAAGTTAACAAAATAGAAAAATAACGAGCGCTAAGTTTTAATGAATTTGCTTATTAGAAGCATGCACGATAGTTACACTAAGTAGCATGAAATATCAACACTCAGAACAAGAACAGTAGCTATGTACATCGAAACAATATTAAAATTAAGCGCAAGCGTAAAATTGAATAGTATCAGATTGTTGTCAGGAAAAGCTTTATACCAAAGATCCTCTGGGACCTAGTATTTGCGGTATAACCCACAGTTTTTGCCCGATGACACCTATTGGAAATAGTACCATCGGATAGAGAATTAAATTCTGCATCCAACACACTCAATGAGAGAGCTAACACAAGTGTTAGAGCGAATCCAGAGAAGGATTATACTCAAGATCCGCTCTTGAACCTGGTATATGGCATATAATCCCCAGATTTTGTCCGATGACACCTATTGAGAATAGTACCATCGGATAGAGAATTAACTTGCGCATGCAACACACGCAATGAGAGAGCCAACACAAATCGTAGAGCGAATTCGGACAAGAAATACATAATATTGGGTGTTATTACATAGGGAATAAGGCAGTATTTCGGGGAAAGTGATGGATTTTTTGCCCGATGACCATGGTTGAAACCGGTACCATTCGATAGAGCTTAAAATTCTGCACCTAACACAAGTGTCTAGAGCGGTAGCACAGATAAGAAAGCGAATCGGGACTAGAAAAATCTGGTGCTAACTTTACTTACGTAGTAGCATAAAGTAACTTGAAGTGCAAAAGTCTGCTGTTTCCTCCTAGCATATACCTCGTACTGGAAGAGCTGTTTTAGGTAATGAATCGAGAGAACGCATCTCATCTGTTTTAAGCATTGTATGGAATTTATTGCAATGCTGGACTAGTCAAACGTTTTTTTGATCCAATAGGTAAATATTGCACGGTAGTTTAACTCTGGATTTTTATTGTAAATACCTTTCAGCATTAACATGAAATATTTTAGTAGTAAATAGATTATTTATACAATATACTTGAGATTTGTTAAATCTTTTAGGTTGGTTGTCACGTCAGCGCATGTCGCCCAAAAGTTACACACCGAACTCGACTGCGTTTTGTTACCGATGCCGTTTTATTGAACGAGTACCAAACGGATCCGATGTTACGTGCTTATGCTGTAGTTATCATTGATGAAGCTCACGAAAGACACGTTGATACTGATCTACTCTTTGGTGCCATGAAATTGTGCTTAAGCAGGCGCCCTGACATTAAGGTAAGTTACATTCTTGAAAATACGTTCTTTATTTATCAGTTTTATTCGATTTGGAATAGAATTTAGAGCATGAAACTTCGTGTTGAATTTCACACTAACACATTCTTTCGATGATGAATAGAGATGTTTAATAATCATATATTTCTATAATTGTAATGATCTTCCGAGAGAAAAGCAAGTTCGTTTTGATATGGATTTCTGTCACGAATGTTGATTTGGAAGATGGTCAATATGATTGAAGCATTTGCCGGTTCAGCAGACGTTCTCAAAAAATCTGTTTTCTGCAACAGTTAGAATCATTTTCATTCAGAGGTGCGCGAATACAAGTACAATTTGTACTCTCAATTACTCATATACTTTCATAAATCAAATATGTACTCTGACTATCATATGTACTGGAAAAAAGTTCAGCAACGGTGGGGATGTACTGTCATGTATTCTGATCGTCATATGTACTGGGGAAAAGTTTAGAATCGGTGGGGATGTACTCTCATGTACTAGGTAGAGAACCCTAGAATTACTTGGTATGTACTCTCATATACTATCGGGTGTGGGTGTTGGTCTCCGTCTGAGAGAATATCCGTATCCTTCGCTCACGCCCACGCTCGATAGTATATGAGAGTGCATACCAAGTAATTCTAAGTTTTTCGACCCAGTACACAATAGTACATGACAGTACATCCTCACCGATTCTAAACTTTTCCCCAGTACATACGACGATCGGAGTACATGATAGTACATCCCCGCTGATTCTAAATTTATGGGAGTGATGTTGATTTCAGAGTACATTTTGTACTCGTACTCGCGCAGCCCTCTTTTCATTTGATAAGTTTACACTGAATATCTATTTTGAGTGAATAGTATTGACATGCAATTGCATACATATTTGATGACACTAAACCGCATATTAGAAAAATATATATTATACTATAATCGCTTATATTTCGTGCTCTCACTCTTAATTCAATAAGTGCCAAACGTTTCGTTTCGTTCATACATGTCACTGCGAGTTTATCCGTCAATTCTGTATAGTTGATAGTGCAAAAAATTTGTGCAGTTCGCTAGTATTGAAAAGTTTTCTTTTTCATGGTAGACCAATCGAAAATAGTTTCTTGTTCCAGAATTTCATTGTTAAGGATCTTGAAGGTCTAATAATTGTAGAAATTCTCGATTATTCATTTGAAGAAATGTCATGAAATATGTCCAGTGATTTATAAAGTATCCTAGAATATGGTCTTCTACCTGTTCGTTGGGCTTCGTTTATCCACATGTTTGATGTTTTGGATCAGGCGACAAATCGTGTTCTTAAAAATTTGAAAATAGACTTTGTTGAAAAATACATACCGGTTTCATCTGTTGTTTATGTGGTCTATTATCTGTTGTACTTACTTCTTTTTCTACTCCTCAGTTAATATAGAACTCATACGAGTTTTAAAAAATGTCTATTTTTTTTGGTTTATGCAAATTTATTGTGCAACACTCAGGAGTGCTTACACGAAATTTTGATACGGAATAGGATGGGATAAGATGCATGTGACTCTAGTATAGTCATAGCTGAGGTTCTTCTAATGAGACTTGCCAATATCGGGGTTAAATATGTAGTGCAAGGATAGAGCGTAGATCTAAGGGTTACAGAGTAGTTAAGGTTGTGCGAAACTTATCCATTTAATGAGGAATGTTTCGTGTCTGTCTATTAACTTTTTTACTCTTTTTTGTCTGCAGAAATGTCCTAGTGAGTCCTTGTCGTGTTTTATGTCTATTTTAGTCTATTTGATGAAGCGGCCGCTGCATTGTTCGTTAAGACATACCTTGGTTTCAGTTGTGCAGTATTTTCTAAGTGACTTCTTTCATAGTTTTTTTTTCTCATCGTTTGTTAGAAGTAATTCATCGATCACAATATTATTTTTACTTATGATCATGCGAAGTCAGCGATAACCGTTTCTATGTTAAATAGATATGAGTCTTTTATTCTTGGAATATTGTATCAGATATTATGAATAGAAATTTTCGTTCGATGATAAATTTTAGTAATATAATGACGATCTTGTATCCAGATGTGAAAGATGATCGACCTTCTCGTCAATCTTTTCAGTATTGTTTTTATAGCTAATCGTCATGTCAGCAACACTTGATGATAAACTGTTAAGTAAATATTACAAAGATGCATGTGTGGTTGAAGTTCCTGGTCGAGCGTTCCCAATCAAAGATATTTATGCTATGGAAGATGCTGAAAATCATGTTGATGAAGCAGTAAATAAAGTTCTGGAAATTTATACTAGTGGCATTCCAGGTGACATACTTATTTTTCTTACGGGTCAGGATGAGATCAATCAAGCTATCGATAAAGTTACGAGAAAAATTGACTCTTCAGAATCGACTCTTGTTTTACCATTGCATGGTAAATTAAATGAAGATGAAATACAAGCCGTATTTACGACAAAGAATAACAAGAATCAACGTAAGATTATTTTTTCGACCAATGTGGCTGAAACATCAATAACCATTGATGGCGTTCAACATGTCATAGATTCAGGCATGGTCAAAGAAGTCATGTGGGATACTAGACGACATATACGAGTACTCAAAATTGGCTATACAACACAAAGTTCAATAAAGCAACGACGTGGTAGAGCTGGACGAACGTCCGCAGGAACGGTAAACTATAGTATAGTAACCAGTTTTACTAATTGTTTCAGTCAATAGTATACAAAAAAAAGAACACTGGTTTATTGAAATTCAATCATTTCCTTATCAATAATTGATTTATCAAAAATGTTCTCTCAAACTGAAAGTGGAGTATGCTTTAAGTAACTAAGTAAAACAGTATTGGAACAAACAAAAAAAAAAACAAAATGAATATTTGTTTACGTAGTTTGTTTGTGTGATAGATAATTTTCTAAGAAAAAAATCGCATTCTAATAATAGATTATCTAAAATTGAGTCAATGTTAAAACAGCAGGAAAAGAAATATCCATTTCCAACTAATCTTAAATTTTACATAAGTTTCTCTAATAAAATATCTTATTAAAGTAATTTATCAGAGCCAACCTATCGAAACATTGATACGAAACTAATGTATTTTTTCCCAATTTTTTAGTGTTATCATCTTTACACATATGATACTTATCAATCACTGGATGTTTGTTCTCGTGCAGAAATTCTTTGTATTCAACCGAGCATAGCGGTACTGAAACTAAAACATCTTGATATAGTCGATGATATTACGAAGTTCGATTGGTTAGAATCACCTTCGAATAATAGTCTTCAAGAAACTGTTAAGAGTTTAACATGGCTTGGTGCAATTGATTCAAATACCGGCAAGTTGACTGACCTAGGTCGTAGTATGGCTAAACTCGGCCTTGAACCTATGCTCTCAGTTATGATTTTGACGGGACAAAAGCTCAACTGTCTTAGTTACATACTTGCTCTTGTCGGTATGCTGAGTGTAGTACATAATATTTGGTGGCGTGGTGACAATGATCAATCAAAACAAATGAGTGATGAGATACGAGCTTCATTCACTCGCGATACCGATGTGGGTGGTGATTTCATCGCTTTGTTACGGATATTTCTCGAATGGCAGGGCATAGGCGAAAGGAGAGAGCGTAGAAAAGCTTGGTGCATTAAGCATATGATAAGATGGAAGTCAATGACGATGGCGAATAGTCTCGTTAGAGAATTAATATATCAAATAGATCCAAAATTTCAAGTTCATTTGACTGAATTGAACGATAAGCTAATGGAACGAATCGTACGCTGTATATGTGCTGGTTTTTTTCAAAATTTAGCTATTTCAAACGGACCTATTCATGCTGGATATCAACTAGCTACTGGTACTACAGATACAGTTGCGCACATACATCGTTCATCGGTAATTACCTTTGCACGACAGGCGCCCAAGTTCATACTGTATCATGAAATAATCAATATTAACGAGACAAATTATCTAACTGTAATGTGTCCCGTCGAGCTCGATTGGCTTAATAAATCATGGTTGGACTCGTTACCACGTTCACCTGCACAGTGTGCATTTGATAATTATACGTTTGTAAATCTTGGTCCGGCATTATTACTTGCACTTGTTGGAAAAAAATGTAAAAAAGTGCCACAACTTGAGGAGCAATTACATGTCTTGTTTGAAGTTGATCGTGCACAGTCGAAGCTTACCATTTGGGGACAGTCAGAAAAACTCTTCAATGCTCAACAATGTCTTCATCAAATTTTGACTAGAGAACGAGACAAACTACGTAATGAATTGCAAGAATTTCATATTGTTGGTTCGACTAGAATCTTACTTGGAGCTGGTGCTGAGCCTCGACTAGCGTTGGTTGAAGATGAATACATCAAAATCTTTCTCAAAAATTTACCAAAAAACATCACTGAAGAACAAATTCAAGAAAAGTGTCAATTATACGGACAAGGTAAAGTGAAATAAGTTTGTATATTTGTAACCATTTTCATAAATAATGCAAATAAATTGGTCATTTGAAACAAGTCTTTATCAGCAAAGATTCAATTGAATCTAGTTTTCATTTAAGAACACATTTTCTTTCTCGAATCTGAACCATCAAGTCTTTCGACATCGACTTTTTTCATCATTTAAACCGTTAGAAGATGTCTAGTAGAAAAAAAAACCATGTTAATGTGTTATGGTAAACTAAATTCTTTTCGTAATAATGATTATTTAGTGTTTCAACGATAATTCGAACACTGCCGAGCACAACTAGTTCTCCATAGTTTTAGTTCACGAAATTAAAAAAGCTCGATATTCACAGGAGACTGCTTTTCTGTAATGCTTTATGTTTTTCTCAAAATCAAGAGGTTTGAAAAAAAAATGTCCTAAATTACTTCCGTATCACCAAAAAAGTAAGACTAATCCAACTAAAGATCTTTCTAGAAAAAACAAACTGCAAACACTTTATCCAATGGATTCTTGTGTTATTTTGAAAACTATGTCTTAAATGATTTCTAGTATTTTTTGTGAAACGCGCCCTATAAAAAAATGTGAGCTCGATCGAACGAATTTCACAGGAACCTCAGAAAGAAATAGATGTTCTTAAAGAAAAAGACTTTCGTATCTTAGATGGCACTTCGTTTTTCATTCTCTTCATCGCCAAATGTTTTTCTGAAGATTGTTTTTTTCTTAATTTTATTTTGATTTAAAATTACAGTTCAAAATGTGACCATAATTCGAACAAACTATAATAACAATTCGGCTTCTGTTACCTATGCTACGTGCAACAATGCGCGACTAGCGGCTACTCAATTATCATGTGAAAAATGGAATGAATATCAAATATATGCAAGTCCAAGTTATACACGTACATCAGTCGATACTAACAAGCAGAATTACAAATTAAAGGCTCAATGGTTTATGACTGAATCTGAATGTACTGGACGCATAGCATTTAATAATCTCCAAGCAGCACAACAAGCTTATCAACTGTTGACAAATCGTTGCCATTTTCGCTGTCAATTTGAAATAAATTCCATCAATCCAACGGCTAAATGTTCGTGGCCATTGAAACCACATTATGGTCATGCAATTGTCAATTTTTCAACAGTTGAACAAGCTCAGGAGGTCAGCTACACGATTCTGTTCTTATAAAAAAAGGTTTTCTTTGATACAAACAAATGTTAAGGGATTCATATGAAAGTAGATCTATTTACTAATATGTGAAATCGTTGTCGTGAATGATATGAAAGAGGACTTGTTTGTACATTCAACTAAGTAACTGTCGATTTATTCTATAACTTTCTCCGAAACTTCTATTCACAATTGAAAATGTTCATAACTTCGAATTTAGTCCCTTCGCATAGCACACTCTTATAAGCTACAGCATTGGTAAAGCGTTTTATGTAAAGATAAATTATGAACAATATTTCCTCAAGGTACCATTGATCAGTCAGATAAGACTTTCACAGAGTAGAAAAAGATTTTCTTCGTAGTAACACGTCCTGTAAGGTTGAAAATTTAAACTACGTTCCAATGGCTATATAAAAACCAATAATATGAACATCGTAGAATTAGGCATTTCGATTCTTAGGCACTAGAAGCTCAATATCAACATCCGTTTCGATTACAACGAAGTCGAAGGTCAAATAATTCAATATACGTTCGAAACATTCCTTCAGATCTAGATGAAGTCAATTTAAAAACAATTTTCATTGCTTGCACGCATGTTATATTGCTAAGGACTCGTACCAATATGTTAAGGATGACACCGATCGAGACTGAAAATACTGTTTATCAATTGTTTGAAAAGTATTCATCATTTCAACGTGAATCAGTTTTTATTGAACCATATCAGCATGATGGTCGTGTAATAGCCTATGTCCAATTTACTGATGAACAAGAAATGCGAATAGCTGTCGATGAAATGAACAATATGCGGACTTCGATCGGTGCTGGTACATTAAGATTATCAATTCAAGAACAACGACAGATTAAATTAAGAAGAAAAACAAATGAAAATAAACAAGATGAATTTCGTGTCAAACTCTACCAATTACCATCTCATATTGATGAAAGAGCACTCATTCGAGAACTCAATCAGACTAACATTAATAATTCTATGACTTATGCAATTGTATTTCGTAAGAAATTGCCAGCAGACTATTTCTCGGATCGATCTAAAATAATAGCTGAAGACAATAAGAATGTTTTTATGAAACTAAAATCGCTTTTTGCCACTCGCCATCTTTTTCTGTCTGAGCCAGATATTGAAATTCGTTCACCAACCGAAGATGGCCGTGCTGTTGCCTACATTACTTTCAATGATCCTCGAGATATTATGTCGGCTATTAACATGTGCGATTCTATAGATGGTTTTACTATGAGCAATATTGGGTTAAAACAACTTCATTTTGTTCCTATCATTATTCATAGAATTATGGTTAATCAAGCGCTTGCACAAGCCATCAATAACAAAATTGAGCAAACTATGAATACGATTCAAACCAGTCCTGATTTTACCAATATATCAGTATTCAAAAAGACAATTATGAAAGATGATAAAACCAATGTTCTTATTTCGATTCGAGGAACAAATATTCAACAGCTTTACAAAGCACGTATACTTTTCGATAATTTATTGAAAGGTTTACAATTTCAACTTTACAATCATTCATGGGTGAGTTCGTCATTGATTGAATTTATCTAGAAAAAAGAACTACTAAAAACAAAATATGACTGTTGGAATCTATTCAGAACTTTGAATTTCCTATTCAACTGTTGAATAACTCTCGAATATCAACATCATATATCTATTTTTAGTCGACTTCCGAGAAATTTTCGTCAACGATTGGAACCAGAAACAAAATAAGTAAATTTTTCACAAGCTACAGTAAAATTAAAAACATTTTCTTCATTACCCAAATGTCTATGCGATGAAATCAAAATCTAGATTTAAAAGCTATTCATTTTCGAAAATTTTATAGACGTTTAGAATATTTAATTTAATGTAATTGATAAAAATGCAATGTGTTTGACTGTGTTTCGATTAAGTAGACAACAACAAAAGAAAACTAGAAATCTGCCATTTTCATTAGTCAAAAAGAGTGATGTGGAAGTATAAAATTATCTGAAAATTTAAATAATTTGTCACCACATCAAATCGAGAGATGAAAGGCTTCGATATAGAAAGTTATTCAGAATTTGGGTTCATCGACCTCTCTTGAGAAAATTCAACGTCTACGAATCGAAATCTTAATTTCTATATCAAACTTCTAATGCAATAATATGGTTGATCGGTAAAATTTTTGAATACTTTCATCATACGACATGTCCCTTTTGGAAAAAAATAATAAATCGGCAAGATTGAAAGAACTTTTTCAGATAATAAGTTGAAATTTCTTGTTGGCCTCATCTGTTACATCACATCATATCGATCATGATACAATCTTCCTTGTTCAAAAAATCTACTTTATATGAACAAGTAGGATATGACTTTTCTATTATTTAGGTTACGGCACTATTTGATACAACAGGACAATGTTTTCTTCAAGATCTTCAAAGTCGTACTGGTACATACATTTGGTGGAATTGGAAGTCGACATTGTTGCGTATTTTTGGTGAAGATTCTGCATGTCAAGATGCTTATAGACAGATAGATGCTTTCATTCAAACGACTCTTTCACAACGTGAACATTCTATTTCGATTCCGATTCCAAAGAGTAAGCTTGAAACTGAAGTCGAATAAACTGATGTATCTATTTTGAAGATTGCATCCGACAATGTATTCAAAATTCGAGTGTACTCCGTGAATTGAATACTAAAAAAACAAAAATTGTAATCAATATGATCAAACGTCTAATATCAGTGAGTGGTGATCGAGAGGCAGTGATTGAATGTGAACAAAAAGTAAAACAATTCCTGGACAAATTTGCATGCAGTTCCAATCATCCGAATGGTATTAAGCCTGAAAATATTATAATTAACATGAAAAACATATGTTCCATATGTAGTTGTGATTTTGATTCTCCTTATACATTGGAACAATGTGGACATACATTCTGTCGTTCATGTTTAAATGCTTATTTCGATGCGTACTTTGATGTGACTTTAAGTTTTGAAGCTTTTAAATTATCGTGTCCATTTTATCAATGTGATGAAATTTGTCTCATTCGTGATCTTGTTTCTGTAATTGGCTTTGAACGAATGGCTCGTCTAGCAATGATTGCTTTTCAAGTTTATATTCGTCGAGCAGATAATGATTTAGTCCAATGTATGGGAATCGATTGTAAACAGGTATGATAGATTTGACATATTTTTTGAGTCACTAAAAAAAATGGCATAACAATAAAAACCTAAACTAATCCTTACTTCAATGAATTCTATAGAACAATAACGAGTTAGTAACTTGAAGTAAACTTTTTATTTCTACATAGAACTCATTATTTGATGCATCAATGGAAAATTCAGTTTGCTATCTCAAGTTTCTCTTGAGATATTAGACCGGTGAAATCCAAAATTTTTAATACCGCTATTTGTAGACCTTTCGTGAAAATATGCATGCAAAATTGATTAGACCCCAAAATATAGATTTCTCCACTACACAAATTTTTAATCATTTTTGATGGAAACTGATTACTAGACATAAATCTTATCATTGTTAGGCTAATGTTTCTATTTATTTAATTAGAAACAATAGTTTTTATAATATATCGATTCTCTTTGTTTAGGTGTATCGTTCATCAAAATATTTGTCAATGTATTTCTGTGATCAATGTATCAAATTCTATTGCATACCATGCAAAGTTGAATATCACATCGGTATGACATGTGAACAATATAAAAAATTACACGAGGAAAAAGATGAAGATGCCATTTTGGAATACAATCTAGGAAATCTATCCCATAAACCTTGTCCCAAATGTCGAATACCGATTGACAAATATGCTGGATGCAATGCTGTAAAATGTACATTATGTAATATTCATTTTTGTTGGCGATGCAGTGCAACTGATGACGTTGATAGTAAGTTTGACTTCTTCAACGTTAGTTTGATCGAATGGAAAAAATTCTCTTTTTTCTTTAATTTTTATTCGAATAGTTCACAACCATTTCATGGATCCAAATTCGTCATGTTACAACAAAATGTTGGATGAAAATGTAGCCATACAATAGAAGTTTAGCACAATATTTTTTTTTCAAAATCGAGAGACGCATTATATTATCACTTATTTATGACGTTTATTATCTAAAATGCTCGACATAATAATCGTGACCTATGTGATTATGTTTATTAAAAGTTGTCATATAAAATTGTTAACCGAGAATTTATAAGAATATACTAGAGTACTAAAACAACATACATCATGCATATCATCGGCTGGATTATTTTCATCGTCTAAGCAATTTATATTAGAAGAGGATTTTTCTGCGCATCTATTTTGAAAAATGTCTCATATGTCATCATTTACTGTAGTGTTTCTTAACAACTATCTCTTAAAAAAATTCAATCTTCACTCAGTTCCGTTCATTTGCTCTTTTCGAATATGATTTTAGTTTTTGATGCTTCCATTCAAAATGGAATCAAGGACATGATATGAGATCAGAGTCATAGAGTAGAAGATATTAAATAAACAATCAATGTTTTGAATATAATCACGTCAGTTACATAGATGGGTATCGATCACATTGCTAAGTTTAAAATGTTCTCAGATGATTTGTACTAGTATAGTTTATAGTAAGTTCGATTGAATTCATGATAAAAAGAATCACCACAATGGAAAACTAACTAGTATCTTTTATGACGAATTATCTATTCAATTAGATCGACTATTTATGAATGAACTGATCAAATCGATTGATTGTCGCATGTTTTGCCATTGTGGGATTTGTACCAATGTTCTCATCAGGATTTCTGTAGAAATCATGTCATTAAGTACGCTTAACGTTAACAACAGAAACTCACGGAACCATTCTATCGAATTATAACGATTTGATCGGAAACGAGCAAACGAGTTTAATCGAACTCAATTCCTTCAATGAATAGAACCGATCGATCCAATACGAGAGTGACATAATTCGACTATTTTTTCTCGCTATGACACGATTATCCGTCAGAAATTTCTCGAAGTAGAACAAAAACACGCCAGCATTGACATCTTCACCTAAGAAAAAAAGAATTATATCACAGACAATAAGGTCAAAATTGAAATCGATCTTCATCTCGTTTCACATCCTCGAACGAGCTTGAAGCATTTCGTTCTGATCACAACTATTATCATTTCTATCAAGATCGATTCATATTAGACTTAATCGACGATTTCGTTGACACCTATTCAATATTCTCAGCAGCACTTTTCATTACGATGAGTTGATTCAAAAGTTGATTAGCAATAATTCTCATGCAAGACGAGCAACCTTTCATAAAAATCTCATCGAAAACTAACGATCGTTCGATCCATACCTAGAATTGTGCTCAGGAATCAAAATATAAATTATTTTCATACTCACTGATCAGCAACGAGATGAATTCAACGAAGAATTAAGCCTTCTCGCCATGCATTATGTCGATATTCGTTTGAAAGAATTTGATCAAATCTCTTCGCATCTCAAGCTTCGATGTCAACAACAATCATCAAAGACGATTATAGATTTTCATCTTCATCAAAATCAATGTTCATATGGTCTTAATTGAATGATAGAAGATTACTGAGTTCAAAGACATAGGTTTTGCTCTCTTTTCTTCTCTGAATTTTCATTAGAGAGTAATCTAATGAGTCCATTTCGTAATCGAATCAATATTGTTTTCTCATGTGAAGCTGAGAATCTTCTCTTCATTCATATATTACTTTCATTCATACTTCGTGATATTACTCACTACTGGTTTAACATTGATTTGAAAGTTTAAAATGTTTCGGCTCACTCACAACACCTATATCTTATTGTTATCGAAGAAAGCTAGTTCCAGGAGCTTTTTATATCAAAAACCTTGGCTTGTTCATTCTATTCGATATTAGAAAAGTACCACGACTATATTTAATTTCATTCATTTGAAATTTAGTAAAACAAGGCAAGGCACAGAGTTATCATTCATGCTATGATGCCGTTCTTGAAAATCGTGTTCATCACGGTAGTACAAACAAGTTGATTATTGTCTGGTCTATGCATTTCGGTTGGTGACTGTAGTATTCAGAATAGAAAACCTATATCACGGCAAAATCAGGAATTTGAAAACTTCTTTTCGGTACTTTTCATATGAGTTTCGACTCAGGAAATACGTTGTTTCGTGATTAAGTCATCAAAGACCAATTAGGTCTCAAGAGAATAACTGTTATCTCATATCGAAACTCCTCGAACCAGAAATGAATGAAGAGCGCAAAGATCTATTTTTCTTCTCGATTAGATCGATTAAATAACATCTTCCATTGACTTTCAAATTATTTATTGATTGATATCGAGAAACACTTTGTTGAGTATACAAAAAATAATTCCTTCTCCTGTATAATCTTGTCCCGTAAAATCAGCCAGTTCCCAATTAAAGTCACAAGCAGAATAGAAATTGTAATAATGGCAATCAAACTTCTAACTAGTTCACTGATATAAATAGTTTCTTTTTATTAATGACTTCGTTTATTTTATTGTGAACTTGTCACATGACCAGTTGACTTTGACATTACATTCGGCGGATCTTGATTAAAAAAGTTTTATTCAAACGACATTATCTCTGATGGATGATTTGAATTCTTTTTTCGATTTTTTCCTTGGTTGAGTTCTAAACTCTGCTGCTGTTATACTATCATCGAATTGTGTCTTGCTTTCTTTCAAGAACTTTGTTGACTTAGAAACGTACATAACTTTGTTCCTTGTGATTAAATCAAAAGTTTGCATCAACTAAGAGTGTATTCGATGCTGCTCTACCATGTCTATTTCTTATAGAAAGACGGAGTGTAGGCGTAGTGAAGAAAATATCTACATCCATTTACACTCTAACCGTTTAGAGTACTTAGTAAACAAAATGTTGAATCTTTCTGACAAGTTGAAATAAAACGACTCATGTAGCGATACTCGTGTGTGTGAAACTCCGTTTACACGAGAAAAAAAAATCATGCAGTTCAAAAAAAGTGCTCTATGCATATTTTCGATCTCATTTTTATCTTTTTACAGCCCGATATTTCCAGATGTCACTCTTGCAACTGCATTTGTTATTGATCGCCATTTCTCCTTATGTTGCATGGTGTCAGATTGCATATCAGATAAGAACGTTAGATAATTTGTCCTAGTTGTCACGTCAAAGTCTCAAAAATCTACAGACGATGGTGAATCTGAACATGGAACGATCATTAATAGATCAACATAGAATAGATTGCAGGATGTTGCAATTTTTCATCTTTCTTTTCTATTATTTGACCTTATAAACTTGAACTTCTTATTCACTACAGGAAAATATACATTTAGCACACTCTACGTCCTACAGTCCAAGGTTTTTCTGAGTTTTAACACTTGAAAAACAGATGTTGTTTCGAAAAAAGTAGCAGAGATCGTCCTTGTCTACTTCTTTTTGCTATATGCGATGCTATGCATCCACATAATTATCGATCTATACCTGACTGATTGTTTCCAATCAGAAAAAGCTGTTGTCGACTGGTGTCATCTATTACAAGCGTGTTGTACAAGAATTAAGGTGGTTTTTCATGCTACTGCCAGAATAAAACGAGAAGAAAACATTAAATATACCAGTGACACTTTTATGTCTTTTGTAGTCTTGTCCCAATGGTATATTGAGATACACTACAGGGTAAACTCTGTATTACGTTAAGCTCTCTTTTTTAGATGGTAAACTTGTAGATTGTACGTGAAAAAACTCTAATTAATCGCGGGAGAAGAAAAAATAAAATGAAAAAGTTTCGAAATGTAGTTATGAGATATTCGTGTTCATACATGCTACCTTTAACAAATGGATTCTTCTTACAATTAAAAAAAAGTCCGTGATCGATTCTGTTCCTTTCTTAGCTCTAAATATTAACTTTGCATTGTTGATTATTGACTTCTATCGTCCAATTATATTTAATCTACATGAACTCAATAGTAGCACTCCAAGAAAAAAGCATATAATCAATCATTGGTGGTAATAGTTTCATGTAAAACGTAAGAACATGTATCATATACTCTAAACTGTCTGTCACAGAAGTACAGTAAAATCAAGAGTTGTAATGTGCGCAAAATAGAATTTCGTATTGAATGACGGTTTCATATTCTCGATCCAAAGCAATCAACAACTCAAGGATGGCCCCATAGTTTCGATCCTTCTCTGTAAATTGACACTATCTATTTCAAATATACATATAGTTAATTAACGAAAATATTTAAAAAAATGTCAAATGAAAATCGTTACTCAAGATTAATAAAACAATTATAATATTGCACGAGATGCATGCATTCTGCAGCGTTCTTTTCACATGATATATCTAATCTTTCTCTACACAAGTGAATATTTCTAGCTGTTGACTGTATATATAATTTTGACATAGGTAGCGTCAATTTATAGAGAACGGTCGACATGAAAAAAATTAACGTTCTCTTGGTTTTAGCCCATCCTTACAATAAAGATTTAAAGAATAAAGCAATTCTTTATTCGACTTCGAATTGTAGGAACTCCGTCTACGTATTTTGATAACTGCGCTCAATATTTTGACTACGATGTATAGAAGCTAAGAATTGCCGGTTGATGAAAAAGTAAGTATTCTATTAGTACACAATAGAATTTATGCGTCTAATGACAACTCTATTAGTTTTAATCGATTAAACGGACTGGAAAAAAACTCGAAAATCAGGCGCGATCAATATTTAAGGCTAAAAATTAGGTTTCTATCAAATCTAAATAGTCATATTGTAGAGCTGACTTAAATAATTTAACGAAAGAACTATGTTGAGAATGTGACAGTGAGGATTTGGGTTTAAGCTTATTTTTTCTTTTATTCCTGTTTCTTTTCAGATGTTATTATGTGTTATCTAGTTGATATCTTGCATCGACAGCTGTTGCTTTAAATTTGAGATAACCAATCTTAATGTTACTAATATTGCAACCGTCCTGTTTATAAGTGTTGAAGATCAAAGCACATAAGTAGTCACCTAGCAATTTGAACAACCAAACGTGGCTGTCGAACAGTCAACTCAGATTATAATCAACACTCCTATTCTTTCTTGTTGTTGATTGCCTCGGGGCTCTAGTGCTTCATTTAATCCGAAAGTATTTTATTATTTGATTTGTTGGACCTATTCTTCTACTGTTTTTATAAATTTTTTGGATTATCAGATTACCTTATTGTTTTTTCTTTTGATGATCAGATATGTTGTCATCTTACTTTTTCTTATTTTATACATTGACACTTCATCATAGTTGGGTGTGGGTATGTGTATAGAGTTCACATTCACGTTCGCACAACCTTCGGTGTTGAGAAGTTGAATCGTTTGACATATCACGTTTCTACACCGGAAGCCGCTACATAAAATTGTTTTTTTCCAGTCTCTAGTGGAAATCTATGAAGCATCATAGCTCTTCTCTCCGGCACTGTGCATTGCAAGTGATCAAGCTGCCTATTATCAATGTTTCTTTCTGCTCGCCTATTTTCATTTTTCTTACACATTGAAGGCCAGTAGATGAAAGCTTCAATGTGAGTTATTAAATTGCATCCTCAGTGAGGGAAACAAGACATTAGCTAAGTGTTGTGGTAGACCGCAACAATAATGGAATCGATCGGAAACGAGAAGAATCTCTGTAATAATTGAGGAGAAAGAATTGGTAACTAGAAAGTGTGTGCCATCGATGAGCGATAGCGAAATGAATGTGATTATGAAATATAAACAAAAAACGATGGCTAATTGAAAATTAATTGAAAACAGACACTGAGGTATAACAGCATAGTAACAATTCAAGACGGATGCAATTTGCTTATATCATGAAACCATGTCAAACATATTTGCATACGAAGAATAGACAGGTGCGCATTTGATATGCGCTCTTTTCGACTTCAAGAGGGATTTGTGTACATGTAAAATGTGCTCTGTAGTTCAAGGGGCTTTTGTTTGTGAGTTCCACATTTTAATCCCTTCAAGGGTTACACTGACATGCTTTTTCAATTAAATGTATGAATGTGGTGCCTCTTTCTTCAAAATTCGTAAACATATCGTAACTTGCGGCAGCTGGTGAAAGCAAACAAGTCTTTCCAGATCGAGTAACCTTGAAAGCAATATCCACTATTTCTGCGTATGTTTTCGCTACGTAAAAGTGACTTTCGGGTAGTGATTTTTTTGTAAAAGCTTCGTGCATTCGTTTGCCAGCAGATCCAATGAAGATCAAGTTCGGAATAGGATGCTGATAAATAAATTCTATTAAATTAGCATATTCAATTCCACGATCAAATCCGCCCAAAATTAGAGTATCTACATTTTGAATCGTGTTTAAAGCTGCGATAGTAGTTTCAGGAATTGTTGAAATGGAATCATTATAGAAATCAATGCCACAAAAATTCCCAACATACTCAAGTCGATGAGGAAGTGGTTTGAAATCGGCAAATCCTTCTTGTATAGTAGCATTCGGTACAGTTAGAATTCGACAAACTACAGCTGCTGCCATCATATTGAATAGATTATGATCACCTATCAGAGTATTACGACCATGTGCGTCATAAAACAATACGGAATGTCCTTGTTCAGCTATAAATATTTGATTATCCTTTATGTAGAATCCATCGTTCAGTTGTTGGGTAGCACTCAGAGCAGCTCTCTTTCTAGACTCATTGAAATGGGCAAAGAAATCAATGATAATAGCATTATCGGCGTTATAAATCACAAAGTCATTTTCATTCTGAAAGCGCACTATATTCAGTTTCGATTGCTGATATTGCTCGTATGAGGAATAATAATCCAGGTGTTCTGGAAAAATATTCAGCAATACGCTTATATGTGGTGCCTGTCGAATAAATTGTAATTGATGTGACGATAACTCATAAACGATCAGAGTGTCTGGTGTGATTTGATCTAGCATATCAAATGGAGGGATGCCTATGTTTCCTACTAGAACGACATTGGGCGTATATTTTTGAAGGATATGATAGATCAACGAAGTCGTAGTACTTTTACCCTTTGTTCCAGTAATTCCAATGGTTTGAGAGCTAAAAGCGCTTAGAAATAGATCTGTTTGAGAGGAAATTCGTGGATCGTCAGCAAGTTTTGGATAATGCTTAAATGAAATTCCAGGAGTTTTTATAATCAGATCGTATTCAGATAAGTCTTCAAGAAAATTGTCTCCTAATCGCAGCACGACTTTTGAATCATTAGTCAATTGTTGATTGTTGCTCAAATTCGTATTTCGATCGGCAATAGACACCGTGCGATCCGGTAAAAATTTTCGAATAGTACGATATGTTGATTGTCCTTCACGACCAAAACCAAGGATAAGAATATTCTGATGATCGAATAATTGCTTCAATAAAGACTGCATTTTAATATATACTCGAAGTCTTCAGTTAGAAAATGTTCTCCAAGAAAATCTTGCTGTATAGAAATTGAAGATGTTTGTGGTAGTATGGTACTTTTGAAGTAACTGAGTAAATACGGATGTTCATTGGGATAATGTGACAAAGCCATTTTTAAAGCCGCTTTTATTTCGGTGTAGGTACCAACACATTCGAATGGTTTGTTGTTTTGTAATCCAATCAATTGTTCGTATTCCGTTTTAAGTGAAGCTTTATCTAGCAAATTTTCGCCGAAAATTTCTTTTAATTGTTTAGGAGCAATAAAAGGAGAAAGAATAATAAACGTAAATAAACATTTCGAACATTGACAGCACCAGGTATCGTTTTTGCTTCCTACATTACAACTTTTAAATACAGAGAAGTATTTAGGTTCTTTAGCAAATAACTTTGCAATCGTTAATTCTTGTAACGGTCTCAGAAAGCTAAAATAATTAAAATCTGGTGAAATATATTGGCTGACATAGGATCGAAAATCTCGTTCGAATTCGATTGATTTCGAATATTGATGATTTACAGTTGAATTCTTGATCGTTGACTCGTTTGCACTAGATTCATTTGACAGAGCTATGTGTTTGGTTCTCGTTCCTGCTGAAATCAAAAGGGTTACAAATGCAAGCATGGCTGAAAATGGTGTGTGCCCATTCAAGAAGCCTTGCTCATTAAGTTTGATCAATTGTGAATCGAGTGTTCTTTGAATTTCAGCGATATCGGCTCGTAAAAAACCTGCCGCTATAGCACTCTCAAGTGTAGCTTGTCGAGGATTGATAATCATCGGAATTTTAGGTTGCGAATATTTTTTTAATAGTTCCAACGTGACTATAGAGTCTTTTCCTCCCCCGATCGGCACAATGACACCATCGTTGAGTGTATAAACTTGAGTATGCAGTGGATTTTCCCTATTCGTACAGATTTCCATGAAGCTATCAACAGTGGCATCATTGATACCGTTCCGATAGAAAAATTCCCCTAATCCATGGAAGTACAACTTTTTCCACCATTGGATCTGTTCGCATGTTAAATGATGTGGCTTTATATAGACTTTTGGAGAACAGGTTGCTTTCCAGTAACTAATCAGCTCAACCATTCCGATATGGAAAATTAGGTTATCGAGCTGTGGCCCAACTAACTGTTGAAAATCATAGAATCGTCGCATTGGGATGTTTAACTTAGTATTGAAGAAGAATTCATCAGAAAGGTTAAAAGAAAATTGCACGAGTACTGTATCTTGATGAATTACATACTCATAATGATCATAAACAAAAAAAGGATAACGTTGTCTCAATGTATCATATTTGAGTTGATTCGTTTGCATTCTTTCTACAAAAGAAACGAGCAGCTCTATAGATGAGCCCTTTGATATTCACTCATAATTGTTCAACACCTCTGATATGCCATACATGATCAAATCACATATAAATCTCGCATGCATATCTAACAAGAGGGATGCCAAATGTGACACGTCGTTTTGAATCAGATATACACCTGTTTGTGGAGTTTGACGAGCTGATTTTCATAGCATAAAGCATTTTTTCTCGCGGAACTTCAAATAAGACAAAATTCATAAATTCTACTTGGGAGAAATAACATTTGAGACCGGAAATTTCACACGTCCTAAAATGCCAAGGATGGAATTGGATTATTGACCATCTCATTTTTGATTGTCAAACTCTCACTTAATGTACTAAAAACTAACTAAAGATATTTTACTATGTATGTTTCAACTGTTGCTATCATTACACACCTGCATTGCTCACATATAACACTATGAAAAACATTAATAGTTCTGAGAGAACACTATTTTACATACCTGAAACTTATGCCTCGCTGGTTTTACTTCTCTCTGTTGATAAAGGACACTACTTCAATTACAGTTGCATGTTTTTTGCAACTTGTGATTGTGACAAAGTCAAAGTATAGTGTCAGTATACAAGTAAATTTAAATGACCATATTATCGTCTTGTTGGTGACATGCATTCATGTAAGTATAAGAGTCAGAAAGGCTTAAGCTTCAAGTATGTAAAATAGTGTTTTCTCAGAACTATTAACGCTTTTCATAGCGTTATATGTGAACAATGCCGGTGTATAATGAGAGTAACATTGCAACATACAGAGTAAAATATCCTTAGGTAGCTTTTAGTTCATTAAGTTAGAATTCTGACAACCAACAATGAAATGGTCAATAATTAAATTCCATCCTTGGTATTTCAGGATGTGTGAAATTTCAGTGTCTCAAATGTGATCTCTTCCAAGTAGAATTTATGAATTTTGTCTTATTTGAAGTCCCATGGGGAAAAACGCTTTTTGTCATGAGATTCAGCTCATCAAACTCTACAAACGCGTATACATCTGATTCAAAACGACATGTCACACTTGAATACCTTCCATTATAAGTATAAATGTTTTCTTTGTAGATTGAGGAGTTGAATTCTTCAAGATCTTGAGAAATTTCTTTTACAAAATTCCGCAATTGATGCCTTTCATAATTGCTAGCCGACGAGGAAGCGTCTTCTACTGTTAGCAATTGGTTGAACTGATATCTTACTTTTAAGTAGCACTTGCTGAGATTCGATTTAATCGATGAAAAGAATGTACAATTGGCTTCTTGATAAAGAACTGTGAGGATTTTATTAGGTTTCCGGCTCATATTAAGAAATATGTGATAATAATCGAATTAATGAAATATGAGATGAATGTTGGTGTATATATAGATCTTTTTGTTCTTGAATAAGTATAAAAATGTCAGCTCCAAATAGATGCTTTCTCCTTGGGATATTGAGCATTCAAGATATTCATGTTTTTAAGTCTACATGTAGTATAGAATTGCTTTTGGACACTCAATGTCAGAATAAGAAAATGTTTATTGTACCAAGGATTTTTAGAGTTGCCTTAAGACAAAAAGATCTATCTATTGACCGAAGTTTAGCTCAAATTCTCTCAATTCGATTGTTTTAATATATGTAGCTGTGGGTGCTATTATTTTCTTCACCCACACCCATATCCACACACGATCCCGACCATTTCGAGAAATTCAAATTTCTGCGCATCATTATCAAATGAATGATACCAGCCAAAACAAAGTGTTAGAGAGGTCCAGATTAAATATATATAATGAACAGCTGAAATTGATTTATACACATTCAACTAACGGGATACAACTCCTAGTCTAATTCTATGTTGAGTTAGGAAATTCATTTTAGTATAAGTAGTATATAGAAATGAAGTGTTTGCCTTTAGGATTGTCTGTGCTAAGGAGAGTGCCGAAGCAGTTGAAGCTGTAAAAGTGGGGTATGTGAGCGAAGAGAAGAGTCGCATCTACACTGACATCAACGACTCGAACGCAATCCCATAATAAAGATATAAACTTCATTTTTATATATTTTTCATATTAAAACGAATTTCCTTACTGAACTCAACTCAATTCAAACCCAAAGATATACACTGCATTTCTATGTGCTATTTATATTAGAACCAATTGTCTATACTTATTTCTCAAACACTGAATTAAATTTCCATGATAATTATTTTTCATAGTCATTTTATTTAAATTTCCTGGAAATAGAAACTTACGATGTCATGAAAATAATGTTCTTAGTCTTAATTCATATTCATTTACTGATCCAACAATATTGTAAGTTTGATGTAAAAATATGCAGAAGAAATTTATCCTTACCAAGGTTTGATTGCTATTTATTGATGTTGCGTTCGTTATACAAATATATATGTATGTGCTGCGCATGCATACAATACTTTAATCAGTTTGATTTATTCGTTCTTTGCTTACAAGGCCATATGGTCATATGATGTCGTATTCGTTATACAAATATATGCGTATATGTTGTGCATGTATGCAATACTTTAATCAGTTTGATTTATTCGTTCTTTGCTTACAAGGCCATGTGACTATGTGTGCGCAACATATTAGCAATAGAGTCATTTCAACAAAACTCAATTACAAGCATGTCACTGGCTGTGTCGATGCTGTTTGAAAGAGGAATATTTTGTGAAAGAGGCAACCGTGCAATCGTTTGTCGTCGCATCGATTGTACAAATTATTGTGCAACAGAGACATCTTTCGACGACTTTTCAATACTGAATCATATTT